CACACACCAACGTAACCTCCTCTAGGTAGTTTGGAAATACCCATGAGTTCAAAGTGTGAGCTGCCTCTGACCTAACAGATTCATTCCAGGAATCTAACCCACAGATAACAACATATTTGAATTAGGCACAGCAGGGCTCAATATGCCCTGACCTATGTGTTTTTTTTGTTTTTTGGGTCTGGTCGTGGGGCCTGAACTCTGGGTCTGGGTGCCGTCCCTCAGCTCTTCAGCTCAAGGCTAGCGCTCTACCACTTGAGCCACAGCGCCACTTCCGGTTTTTTTCTTTTTGCTTATGCGGTGCTGAGGAATCGAACCCAGGGCCTCAGGCATGCAAGGCAAGCGCTCTACCACTGAGCCACCTTCCCAGCCCCTGACCTATGTTTTAAACAAGGAAAATACACATAATTATACTCCCAGAATACAACTCTGAGCACCTATGTAAAATCCAAACCAAAATCTGCATATTAACTATTAAGAATTGGAGCCTAGGCCAGGAGCCAGTGGCTCACATTTGTAACCCTAGCTACACAGGAGGCTGAGATCTGAGAATCATGGTTCAAAGCTAGCCTGGGCAGGAAAGTCCATGAGACTCTTAGCTCCAATAAACCACCAGAAACCTGGAAGTGGCGCTGTAGCTCAATTGGTAGAGCGCTTGCTTAGAGCTGAGGGACAGCTCCAGGCCCAGAGTTCAAGCCCCATGACCAACAACACCAAAAAAGAATTGGAGTTTATGCGCCAGGTGTCCAGGGCTTATGCTTGTTATCTTAGCTACAAGAGAATAAAATGTGGAGGACTGAGGTTCAAAACCAGCTCAGCTCAAGTGGCAGAATGCCAGCCAGGAGCAAACAAGTCAAGCAAAAATTTGAGGTTGAATTCAAGGGGTGGAGGTGGGGAACCTGTGTGGCAGCTCTAGGTTATCAGTTTTAATTTATTTTACTCATATTTGAAGATATCCTGTACTTTTAAAATTCTGCAGGTCTAGAAGAGTTAGGGATTCTGAGTAGCAGTTATAGCCATTTCACAAAAGCACACTGTGTTTTCAGGGATTGAACTCTCCCAAAGCCTCTTCCCTTCATGCTAATCTCTCCCAGAGTCCCCAGCTGAGACACCCACCATCCCTCAAGGGTAAACACTAGCTGGGGGCTAAGTGCTCACCTGTAACCCTAGCTACCCAAGAGACTGAGACCATGAAACTCATCTCCAGCTAACCATTCAAGAAACAGGAGCAGTGGCTCAAAGTGGTAGAGGGCTAGGCCTTGAGCAAAAGAGCAAGGACAGCTCCCAGGCCTGAGTTCAAGCCTCAAATCGAGAGAAAAAAGAAAACAGAAAAAAAGAAAACTGTAAACATCAATAAATGGCAGCAGTCTATTTGCTCTGCAAGCATTAGAAGCTATCTTATCTTTTCCAAAGATTAAAGATAGCCAAATTCCAATCCCACAAATACCATTTTCACAGATAGTTTTATTTATTTTATATATATATATATTTTTTTTTTTTGCCAGTCCTGGGGCTGGAACTCAGCGTCTGGGCGCTGTCCCTGAGCTTTTGCTCAAGGCTAGCACTCTACCACTGGAGCCACAGTGCCACTCATGGCCTTTTCTGTGTATGCGGTGCTAAGGCATTGAACCCAGGGCTTCGTGCATGCTAGGCGAGCACTCTACCACTGAGCCACATTCCCAGCACTCTTGAGACTCTCATCTCCAATTAACTACCAGAAGCAGAGCTGTGACTCAAGTGGTAGAGCCCTGAGCACAAAAGCTGAGCGACAACACCTAGGCCCAGAGTTCTAGCCCCAAGATGGTGGTATACACATACACACACACACACATACACACACACAAATAATAATATACTCAAATTCTCTCTCCTAGTCGCCTGATTTTATGTCCCCTCTGGGCATGGGGCAGGCTTGACTTCCAACTCCTACCACGCTGTGGGACACACTCATGTCCAGGCCCTGTGGGCCAGGCCTCTCTCCCAGACTAGCTCCCTGACACCACTTTGCCCTGGTCTGGGTTTGAGTCTGTGGGATCCCTCCCTGTCCCAAGCGGCATGTGCTCTCCTCAAGGAACAAAGTCTACTGACAGCCCAACATCTGCACTCCACCAGCCAAGCGCTCATCCCACAGCCCCACTCCCTCAAGTCCTCTCCACCTCACAGACCAGAATCCAATCCTCCTCAGATTCAAAAGCACAGATGGGGCTCCACAGCCCCCTCTGCAGAGTGACTCTCCAACACCCAAACCAAGGTCAAAAGAAGTCAACTGCAGCCACCACCCCCTGGGAAGGGAACACACAGGACAGTCGAGAGGAGACTTGTCTCAAGACACTTTCCTACTGACAGACAACCTGGTGTCTGGATTCAGACCTTTGCGTTCTCGAAGATAACATCCTTTCTCTCATAAACATGGGGGTTTTGTTTGTTTTGTGCCTGTTTTAGCTAGCTTCGTGAACTTTTGTCAACCCTGGAAGATTTTCCTCTGGGTAATTGCTGCCAATTGAACTACACACTGCCATGCATATGCACCCTAACATCAGAAATGCTGAGAAAACCCAGCACATCTGAACCAACTGAGTCCAGCAGCTCCTTACTCCCCAGTGCCCAGCCTCCCGTCAGCCTGGCTGACCCATCCTTCAGAACACGGGCCAACCCAGCCCCAAGGGAATCAGGAGCTAGCCATTAGTTTATGGATACTTAACTGCTCACAGTGGAAGTCTTAATACTCTGACAAAATTATAAACAAGCCTTGACTTTTCCTATAGAGCTTTTACAAATAAACACTAAAAATATTCACTGAATTTGAAAAACAAAAAAATAGACATGTGTTACTGGAATTCTAGAGAAAAAGCCCTGGACTGGAAACATGGTCCCAGTATGCTCAATGCAATGATGACTAACGACAAGGCAGACAAGAAGCATCTGTTTAATAGGGCCCCACAGAAAGAACAAGGGCCTGAGTGGCTGTATATCTGCCTTTAAGTACTGACATTACGTGTAAACAGAGAAAAATGCACTGGGGCAAGAGGCAGATACTCTTAAGAATCCTTGGTTAGCGAGGTGATCTGGTTGATCATTACCTCAGGACTGGCATGAAGAGCTCTGTCATGGTAAGGAAGTCTTGCTAGCTAGGTTTGCCCACCAATGCCAGCACTTGTGAGGCTTGTGCAGGAAGATCCTGCGTTGGAGGCCAGTCACCAGGCCCAGCACTGGTTATACAGGGAGATCCTGTCTTAAAAAAAAAAAAAAAAGTGTTCAATAGCAGACACTTGCTAGTCTACACCAGCAAGGTCCTGGGTTCAATCCCCAGTATAGTGACTGCCGGGAAAACTTGTGACAAGATAAGCATCCATCAGTTTCTGGAATCCAGATGACTATAGGAGAGGATAGCTAAGAGCAAAAAGAGAGATATAAATCAGAACCGGTGTGCTGAGTTCTAAGTCTTCTTTTTTTTGGTAGGTCATGGGGCCTGTGAACTCTGAGCCTGGACGCTGTTCCTCAGCTCTTCAGCTCAAGGCGAGTGCTCTACCACTTGAGCACTGCATCACTGCAGGCTTTTTCTATATATGTGGTGCTGAGGAGTTGAACCCAGGGCCTCATGCATGGGAGGCATGCACTCTACCACTGAGCCACCTTCCCAGCCCCATTTTACGTCTTCTTTTAGTTAACTTATGGGTCCAAATGAGAAGAGTCAATGCTTTTTAACAAAAGGCACACACAAAGGCTGGGAATGTGGTTTAGTGGGTACAGTGCTTGCCCAGCATGCATGAAGCCCTGAGTTTGATTAGTCAGTACCACATACACAGAAAAAAAAAAAAGGCTGGAAGTGGTACTGTGTAGACCACTAGCCTTGACCAAGAAGAAGCTCAGGGACAGTGCCCGGGCCCTGAGTTCAAACCCAAGGACTAGCAGAAAAAAAAAAAAAGGTACACACAAAAAGATAATTTCTTCCTGTTTTTGTTTTTCAATAAGGCCTATGTAGAATCACAGGAAAATGAACTCATCGTTAGCACCAGTAAACAAAAGCAAAACCACAAGGAAACCACATCCCACCAGAACTGCTGCGTTAAAAGGACAGGGCCAGGGGCCAGGGGCGGGCCAGAGCAGAGCACTTGGAACCTCGTAGCCCGGCACAGGACCAGGCCCGCCAAGACCCTAGAGTGGAGTGTGACAGAGGTGGGTGGACCCTGGTCAGATCCAAACTGAGCCCGAGAAGACAGTCACAAAGGACCAGGTGCCAGGGATGCCCGAGCTAACGACCACTCCTGGGAAGGATGGACGCGGGACAGGAAACAGCGTCCTAAAGTCCTCCCTCGGTGGCCCAGCCGTCCGCCTGCGCCGGCCCCGACCCCGGCCCCAGACTCGGCCCCGGCCCCAGACTCGGCCCCGGCCCCAGCCTCGGCCCCGGCCTCGGCCCCGGCCCCGGCCCCGGCCCCGGCCCCGGCCCCAGCCCCGGCCGCCCGGGCCGCAGGAGCGGCCGGCAGCCTCCTCCTGGCCTCCTCCCTCAGCCCGCGGTCAGAGGCCCAAGCGTGCTCCCCAGGCTCTCGGAGGACGGAGCCCACCGAAGACACTCAGGCCGCAGGCCCCGCCGGGAGGAACGCGGCCCCAGCCCCCAGCAGGGGCCGCGGCCAGGCGGGCCTGGAACGTGCGCTGGGCCGGGCGGGCGCCCGGAGGTCGGCGGCGCGGGCCGGGGATTCCGTGCCCTGAGGCCGCGCCGCGGGGTGAGGCGGGCCCGGCGCCCCCGCGCGGGGCCTCGAACCTGGCGGCACGGATCCCCCAACTACCTCTAGCACCTTCTGCTGCCACCGCCTCCGACGGCCGCAGCCCGGTCCCCGGACGCCGACCCCGCCGGGAGCCCCCCCGCCGGGATTCCCCCGCGCCCGCCCGCCGGGGCCCGCGGCCGACAGCGCCGCGAAGCCGACGCCGAGCGGCGGCCCCAACGCCCCGGGATGGCGGGGCGGGCGGTTCGGCCCGCGCCCCGCGCCCGCCGGCCGCGCCCTCACCTTCCGGCTGGCGCCGCCCAGGGACACCTTGGGCCTGGTCTTGAACTCGCCTTCGAAGCTGAACATCTTCGCCGCCTATCCCATCGGCGCGGCCGGGGCGCGGGCGGGCGGGCGCCCCGGGGGCGGGGCCGCGGGGGTTCCGGGGCCGCGGGGCGCGGCGGCGCCGGGAGGGCGCTCCGGGCTCGAGCCCCGCGGGGCGCGGGCAGGGGCTGCGCCGCCGGCCCGGGGGCCCGGCACGCCGGGGCCGGCCGGTGGGCGCGAGCGCGGCGACGCTGGCGGGCGGCCGGTCCGCGCCCGCCTGCTCCACGCCCCGCCACCACCTAGCGAGGGGCGCCGCCGACCCCGCGCCCGCACCGCAGCCGCCGCGGAAGGAAGATGGCGGCCGGTCGTGTCGCCGTGCGCGGCCCCGAGAACGCGCGCGCCCCCGCCATCGAAGGCGCGGCGCTCCTCACGGCGCTCGCCTGCGTGCGCGGCCCCGCTATCGACGGCGCGGGGCTCTTCCCGGCGGTCCCCGCGCACGCAGCCCGGCGCGCCTCGGCGGGCGGCTGGGCGCTCGGACGGCGCCCCCTGCGCCCGCCTGCGTGCGCGTCCCCGCGCGCGTGCGCACCGCCGGCTCGGGAAAGAGACCAGGCGGCGCGGGAGCCGACTGCGCCCCGCGCGCAGACACACGCACAAGTGCCGGGCGCCGTGTGCGCAGGTTCGAGCTCGTGCCGGGTTGCGTGGCCGAGTGTGCGGCACACGCAGACGTGCCCCCACCTCAGACCCGGGCTGCGTGGAGATAACGCGCTCAGCGCACCGAGCCCGCGCGCGCGACACAGCTGACTCCACACGTAGATTCTGAACATGCCGCTCACAAACGGGCCACGCCCCAGGCATGTGCACCGGTGCGGCGTCCCCACCGCGCGCACGCGCAGGCAGCATGTACCCGAGTGCAGCGCGCACACATCAGTTCCAAACGCGCGTGTGCGCTGTGTCCCGCGGACAGCGTGAACGCGGCGCTCCGCGCGCACGCGCAGGCAGCATGTACCCGAGTGCAGCGCGCACACGTTAGTTCCAAAAGCGCGTGTGCGCTGTGTCCCGCGGACAGCGTGAACGCGGCGCTCCGCGCGCACGCGCAGGCAGCATGTACCCGTGTGCAGCGCGCGCCCGTCAGTCCCACCGCGCATGCGCTGTGTGTCCCGCGGTCAGCGCGTAACCGCGGCGCTCCGCGCGCACGCGCAGGCAGCATGTACCCGAGCGCAGCGCGCGCGCCCGTCAGTCCCACCGCGCATGCGCTGGGTGTCCCGCGGACAGCGCGTGACCGCGCTCCGCGCCTCTCCAACGCGTTTGTTTGTGGCTCGCTTTTGTTACACGCGTTTGCAGCCGGTGGGCGAGGTCGGAAGCACGTCGCTGCCTCCTCCGGTCTCCCCGCCAGCCCCGCCCGTCCCGGGCTGGAACTCGGGGCCTGGGCGCCGTCCCTGAGCTGCTTCAGCCCAAGGCCAGCGTCTGCCCCTGAGCCCCAGCGCCACTTCCGGCCTTTTCTGCGTGTGTGGTGCTGAGGGATTGAACCCAGGGCCCCGTGCGTGCTGGGCGAGCGCTGAAGGCCTAAGGAGCGCGCCGTCCCCACCCTGGGCAATAGCTGAGGCCGGCTGGCTGAGACGCGCGCACGCCACGGCTCTGCACACGGGGCTCTGCACACGGCCCTCCGCAGAGCGCGCGCGCCCGGCGGCGTCAGGCCACGCGCGAGGCCCCAGCCCGCTGGGACCGACGTCCAAGCTCACAGCCTTCAAAGGCTTTGTTCTCAGGCTGGGCGGGTGGCTCCGTGGGAGAGCGCTTGCCTCGCATGCCTGAGGCCCTGGGTTCGAATCCTCAGCACCACATAAGCAGAAAGAGCCAGAAGTGGCGCTGTGGCTCAAGTGGTAGAGCACTAGCCACCGCCCCGCCCCGCCCCGCCCCGCCCCGCCCCGCCCCGCCCGGCACTGCCCCGCCCCGCCCCGCACTGCACCGCCCCGCCCCGCCCGGCACTGCCCCGCACTGCACCGCCCCGCCCCGCACTGCACCGCCCCGCCCCGCCCCGCCCCGCCCGGCACTGCCCCGCACTGCACCGCACCGCCCCGCACTGCACCGCCCCACCTGCACCGTCCCGCCCCGCCCCGCCCCGCCCGGCACTGCCCCGCCCCGCCCCGCACCGCCCCGCACCGCCCCGCACTGCACCGCCCCGCCCCGCCCCGCCCCGCCCCGCCCGGCACCGCCCCGCACTGCACCGCCCCGCACCGCCCCGCCCCGCCCCGCCCCGCCCCGCACTGCACCGCCCCGCACCGCCCCGCCCGGCACTGCCCCGCACCGCACCGCCCCGCCCCGCACCGCCCCGCCCGGCACTGCCCCGCCCCGCCCCGCACCGCCCCGCCCGGCACTGCCCTGCACCGCCCCGCCCCGCACCGCCCCGCACCGCCCCGCCCGGCACTGCCCCGCCCCGCCCCGCACCGCCCCGCCCCGCCCGGCACTGCCCCGCACTGCACCGCCCCGCACTGCCCCGCCCCGCCCCGCACCGCCCCGCCCGACACTGCCCCGCACTGCACCGCCCCGCACTGCACCGCATCGCCCCGCACCGCCTGCCCCGCCCCGCCCCGCACCGCCCTGCACCGCACCGCCCCGCACCGCACTGCACCGCCCCGCACCGCACCGCCCCTCCCCGCCCCGCACCAGTCGCCCCGCACCTCCCGCCCCGGCCCGCAGTGCTGCCGCCCCGTCCTGGCCTTACCAGTGAGCTGCTCTGGCCTGGTCGGTCTGGGCTGTTGTTGTGTTGTCGGTGGTGACCTGGTCCGTCTGGGCTGTTGTTGTGTTGTCGGTGGTGGCCTGGTGGGTCTGGGCTGTTGTTGTGTTGTCGGTGGTGGCCTGGTCCGTCTGGGCTGTTGTGGTGTTGTCGGTGGTGGCCTGGTCCGTCTGGGCTGTTGTGGTGTTGTCGGTGGTGGCCTGGTCCGTCTGGGCTGTTGTTGTGTTGTCGGTGGTGGCCTGGTCCGTCTGGGCTGTTGTTGTGTTGTCGGTCTGGGCTGTTGTGGTGTTGTCGGTGGTGGCCTGGTCCGTCTGGGCTGTTGTTGTGTTGTCGGTGGTGACCTGGTCGGTCTGGGCTGTTGTTGTGTTGTCGGTGGTGACCTGGTCGGTCTGGGCTGTTGTTGTGTTGTCGGTGGTGGCCTGGTCCGTCTGGGCTGTTGTTGTGGTGGCCTGGTCCGTCTGGGCTGTTGTTGTGTTGTCGGTCTGGGCTGTTGTGGTGTTGTTGTTGGTGGCCTGGTCCGTCTGGGCTGTTGTTGTGTTGTCGGTGGTGGCCTGGTCGGTCTGGGCTGTTGTTGTGTTGTCGGTGGTGGCCTGGTCGGTCTGGGCTGTTGTTGTGTTGTCGGTGGTGGCCTGGTCAGTCTGGGCTGTTGTTGTGTTGTCGGTCTGGGCTGTTGTTGTGTTGTCCGTCTGGGCTGTTGTTAGGTTTTTGTTTGATTGTTTGTATATTTGGAGCAGAGGCGCCGCTGGCTCACCGCTGTAGCCCCAGCTGCTCAGGGGCCTGAGATCTGAGAACTGCAGTTCGAAGCCAGCCCGGGCAGAAAATATGAGACTTTTTTTTGGGTCAGTCATGGGGCCTGAACTCTGGGCCTGGACACTGTCCCTCAGCTCTTCAGCTCAAGGCTAGCACTCTACCACTTGAGCCACAGCGCCACTTCTGGCTTTTTTCTTTTTCTGCTTATGTGGTGCTGAGGAATCGAACCCAGGGCCTCATGCATGTGAGGCAAGCTCTCTACCACTGAGCCACCTTCCCAGCCCCACTGTGAGATTCTTTACTGAAATGCTGAGCATATAAAGATAACTGGAGCTGGCATGGCTCACGCCTGTAACCCTAGCTGCTCAGGAGGTTGAGATCTGAGGACCATGGTTCAAAGCCAGCCCGGGCAGCAAAGTCCATAAGACTCTTATCTCCAATGAACTACCAGAAACCCAGAAGTAGAGGTGTGACTCCAAGTGGTAGAGCATTACCCTTGAGCGAAAGAGCTCAGGAACAGTGTCCAGGCCCTGAGTTCAAGCCCCCACTACTCACACACACACACACACACACACACACACACATGGAGAGCAGGTAGCCACCCAAAGAGGCACAGCTGCACAGCACAGGGTTGGGAGTGGGGTCTATGTTTTTGGACAGGCTACTTTTGATGGCTGTTCCCTGGTTTGTGGAAGTTGATTGCTGTCTCTTTCTTGCACCTTGGTCAGGAAAGGTTTGAGCCCTTGTTTTTCATGCTTTCCCTCTGTCCCATTTCCCAGCTTGACTGGCTTCTTGTTGCAGCCGGGACCCTTACATAAGCCACACCCGCAGCCCTATTTTTTTAGTCTTTTTTTCCTTGTCTTTGTATTGTTGTAGTAAAGGTGATGTCACAGAGGGGCTCCAGTTACGTAAGTGAGGTAATGAGTACATACCCTTTGGAACAATGTCACCCTTTCCTGGGTTCTCTCTAGTTCCCCTTCCATCTCCCCACAAAAGGTGTGTAGTTCATTTTCCACATAGTGTCTAGTGAGTACCACTGCTGCATTTGTTCACCCCTTGTCTCTCCATGTCTGTGTCCCCTTACCCTCCCAAAGACAGATAAACCAACAAGACAAAAAGAAAAGAAAAATAGCAACAAAGGAAAAAAACCCTCTTGTTTCCATTTCCTGGAGTTCATTTTGATAAATATTATTTCATATGATCAGAGGCACATAGGCCTTGCGCCTTTCCGTTCCTCCCCTCTGGTCTTGCTGTGTGTGAATGGCCAGAGTCCTGTGTAACTTATCATGTTGTAGTGTAGTTTAGATCTAACTTTCGCATGTGAGAGAAAACGTGAGCCATAGTGCAACGTTTTTTGTCGGTTAACTGGAGATAGTTTCCTCTCGGGATTTCCTGCCCCGGCTGATTTTCAACCATGATCCTCAGCTCTCAGCCTCCTGAATAGCTAGGATTACAGATGTGACATGGCTGATTACACTTTTTATGTTAAGGATGTATTATTTGTAGTAGTAATACATCGATTATCTGCAAATACCAACATAAGTGGTAAGTGAATCGTCCTCTGCCCTGCCTTCTTAATGTGTCTGCACCATCTATTTATCTATCATCTACATAT